AACATTAGGAAGCAGAAGAATATTCCCTCTAGTTCAAACTGGAGGTTTAGTTACCACAATACCGCTGGTTGGCTGTGTGGGCTCAGTAAGGTCTATTGCTCTTCTGGCAGAATTTGCTCCTGGTTTTTGTGGTTCCTACTTTGGCAGCGTTTTAGCTATTACCGTGAATATTTCATTTACATTCATTGATGTTTTAGCTGATGTCTCTATGAATAATGACCTTATCATTTGCATAGGACGATGCTTCCTGGAAATCTACAACTCTTTTATTCTAGAGCAGCCTTGTTTCCTGGTAAAGCTATGACAGTGTTAGGACTTGCTTGCCTCTAAGGTTCTTTTTTTTTTTTTTTTGTGAGAGAGATCAGCCCTGAGCTAACATCTGTGCTAATCCTCCTCTTTTTGCTGAGGAAGACCGGCCCTGAGCTAACATCTATTGCCAATCCTCCTCCTTTTTTTCCCCTTTTTTTCCCCAAAGCCCCAGTAGATAGTTGTACGTCATAGTTGCACATCCTTCTAGTTGCTGTATGTGGGACACGGCCTCAGCATGGCCGGAGAAGCGGTGTGTTGGTGCGCGTCCGGGATCCGAACCCGGGCTGCCAGTAGCGGAGCGCGCGCACTTAACCACTAAGCCATGGGGCCGGCCCGCCTCTGAAGTTCTGTAACCCAGTTTTTTGCTCTTGCGAAGGACTCCTCATTTGAGATACCATATACAGCTATGGCTGCCTGTGCTCCTCTGTAGTACATTGGTGCTGGCTGTGTTATTATTCTTGACCAGCTATATTCCATATTTGAAACTTTACTATTGTGTTGTCAAGACACACAGTATGGGTTAGAAAAGCAGCCCAAGTGAATGGTACTTTCTTGAAATTCATGAAATTGGCCCCTCACAAAACGAAGCACTAGGCTTGATTTGCCAACAGCAGACTCTCCCAGAAGTACTAGTTTGCACTGGCATATTTTATTTTCAGTACTTGGCCCACTGGGTCTTGTTGCTCCTTGATTAGCCGTGTCCAAATTTGAAAGAGGTCCCTAATTTCAGTCTCTTAAAAGAATTTCCAAGATGCAGGGTATCAATTTTTTTCTTTCTGGAGGTAAAGAAACCTGAGACCACACACACAGGGCAGTGGGGCCGAAGCTTTCTGGCAGCAGGTCGTAGGCGTAGCCCGAATGACGAGACTGAAGCTGTGGCTTTGGTGGAGGCAGTGTCTCCTCCCCCTTTTGATTTCTAATTTAATTCCATGGGGTTAAAGACCATACTCTGCATGATTTCGGTCCTTTTAAACTTCTAGAGACCTCTTTTATCACCCAGCATGTAGTTTTTCTTGTGCACTTAAAAATGTGCTTTTGTGTGGTAGACATTCTATAGATTTACATTTATAGAATATATAAATATACATATATAGATGTATATTTATAGAACATTCTATAAGTGTCAGATAACTTGATTGAAGGTTATTCATGCCTTCTGTATCCTTAGTGATTTTCTGTCTACTTGTTCTATCCATTATTGAGAGAGGGGTATTAAAATCTCTGGCTATAATTGTGGATTTGTCTATTTATCCTTGTAGTTTTACCAGTTTTTGCTATGAAGTAAAATACATGCATATTTCGAAGCCCTGTTTTTAGATGCATACAGTACAGTTAGGATTGTTGTATCTTCTTGATGAATTGACTCTTTTATCTGAGTGTAATGTCTTTTTTTATCCCTGACAATATTCCTTCTCCTTGAAGTCTACTTTTTTTATGTTAATATAGCCACTCTACATTTATCATTAATATTTCCCTAGATTTTTCCATTCTTTTACTTTTAACTTATCTGTGTTTTTATATTTAATGTGTTTCTTGTAGGCAGCATATAGTTAAGTGTTGCTATTTTATCCAGTCTGTTGATCTCTACATTCTAATTGGAGTGATTAGATCATTTACTTTTAATATAAATATTTATTTGGTTGGTTGGTTTGGTGTATATCTCTCCATCTTGCTACTTTTTGTCTGTTTGGCCCATCTAGTCTTTTCTCTCCTTTCTTGTCTTATTTTGGATAACTGAATATTTTTTACACATTCCATTTTATCTTCATTTTTGGCTTATTAAGTACACCTCTCTTTTTTTTTGTGCGTGTGTGAGGAAGATTAGCCCTGAGCTAACGTCTGTTGCCAATCCCTCTCTTTTTGCTGAGGAAGATTGGCCCTGGGCTAACATCCGTGCCCATCTTCCTCTACTTCATATGGGATGCTGTCACAGGCTTGACAAGCGATATGTTGGTCCGTGCCTGGGATCCGAACTTGTGAACCCCAGGCTGCTGAAGCAGAGTGCGCGAACTTAACCGCTACGCCACTGGGCTGGCCCTCCTCTCTCTTTTTTTGAATTGGTTGCTTTACGGTTTACAATGTGCAATTTTAGCTTATCACAATCTACCTTCAAATAATATTATTCCACACCATGAATAATGTATGAATCTTACATCAGAATAGGTCATTTCCTTTTCCTTTCTTTTATGCTATTGTTGCTGTACATTTATTAACTTTACATTTTGCTTATGTTCTAAACCCCACCATATACTGTTATTATTTTTGCTTTGAACAGTCATATATTTTTATATTATTATATATTTTAATTATAAAATACCCTTAACATAAAATTTACCATCTTAACCATTTTTAATTACATACTTCGGTGGCATTAAGGACATTCACATTGTTGTATTACTGTCACCACCATCCATCCCCAGAACTCTTTTTATCTTGCAAAACTGAAGCTCTGTACCTCTTAAACAGCCGCCCCCCACCCCTTACCTCTGGCAACCGCCACTCTACTTTCTATCTCTATGAATTTGACTATTTTAGGTTGCTGATATAAGTGGAATCATGCAGTATTTGTGACTGGCTTATTTCACTTAGCATAATGTTCTCAGAGTTCATCTATGTTAATTTTTTGTGGAATAGTCATACTGTTTTCCATAGTGGCTGCACCATTTTACATTCCCACCAACAATGCACAAGAGTTCCAATTTCTCTATCCATCATATTTTAAAGCAGTTAAAAAATGAGAAAAAAAAGTTTTTATTTTCACCCACGTATTTACCATTTACTCTTCTGTCTTTCTTGTAGATTCATGTTTCCATCTGGTGTCATTTTCCTTCTGCCCAAAGAACTTCCTTTACCATTTCTTGCCATGACAAATTCTCTTAGTTTGTGTTTGTCTTAGTCTTTGTTTTGCCTTCATTTTTGAAGGATTTCCCTTATGGATATATAATTCTAGATTGACAGGTTTTTTTAATACTTTAAATACTTGTTCCATTGTCCTCTGGCTTAGTCTTATCTTTGTTACTCTCTACATAATGTTCCTTTTTCCTCTGATGGCTTTTAAGATTTTTTTTTTTCCGTGACTGGATGATAATATGTCTTGGTGTGATTTTCTTTGTGTTTATCATGCTTGGGTTTTGTTGAGCTTTTTGGATTTATGGGCTTACAGTTTTCATGAAATTCAGAAAATTTTAGCCATTATGTCTTCAAACATTTTTTTTCTGTGTCTGTTTCTCTCTTCTTTTTCTGGGACCTTGATTATATATATATTAGACCACTTGATATTGTTTAAAGATCAATGAAACTGTCTTTTATTTTCCCATTATGCTTCAATTTCGATAGTTTCTGTTGCTTTGTCTCCAAGTCACTGATCTTTTCTTCTGCGGTATCTAATTGTTTTTAATAATATCTGGATAGTTTTTTTATTTCAGAAATTGTGTTTTTCATCTCTTGAAGTTGCATTCAGTTATATGTATATTCTCTTTCCCTCATAATGTTCATGTTTTTCTTTAAATCCTTGAACATGTTGGGCCTATTTATAATGACTTTTAATATCCTTTGCTAATTTTATCACTTCTGTCACTTTTATCATTATCACTAATTTCAGGTTTGTTTCTGTTGAATGATCTTTTTCTTGGTTATTGGTCACATTTCTCTGCTTCCTTTCGTGTTTAGTAGCTTTTGATTGGATACTGAACATTGTGAATTTTGTGGAGGTGAACATTTTTGAGTGTGTGGATTTTGTTATCTTTCTTTGAAGGATGTTGGGCTTATTTTTTCTGTTAGCAGTTAAATTACTTCTTTATCAACTTGATCCTTTAACCTTTTTTTGTATAGGTCTAAAGTTAAAGTGGCTTTTACTGCAAGGCTAATTTAGCTACTAAAGCTTTACCCTTTTGGGATCTCTACTGAAAGCTTCAGTCTCTCTGCTTTAGTTGGTTGGAATGGAAATGTCTCCCAAACCTGTGTGAAATTTTAGAATTTCTCATCTCATAGTTCCTTGGTTATTCTTTGTCCAGTCTTATGGAGTTACACCTTACTCATGCTTGTCTTAATATTCAACAAAAACTCAAGGGGACTCCAATTCAGATTTCTAGGATACTTTCTACTTAGTTCCCTCCTCTCTGGAACTTGGCACTGTGACGTCTAGCCACTTCAGCCTCCCTTAACTTCTATCTGTATTTTCTCACTTAAGCAAAACCACCATGCTGTGCTTTGGATCTCCTTCCCTGCACTTGGTCCAAAATGTGCCTCCAGACCGAAAGCTGGGGCAATTATACGTTTAGGTTTATAATCTATTTCAAATTAATTTTTGTATATGGTATGAGGGTAGAGGTCAAGGTTCATTTTTTTCTATATAGATAGCAAGTTGTTTCAGTACCATTCTTGAAAAGACTATCCTTTCCCCATCAAATTATATTGGCACCTTTATTGAAAATATGTGTGTGTCTATTTTTGGACTCTGTCCCTTTCCATTGACAGTTGTCTGTTCTCACACTATACTTTGGCTTATGACATGAATTTATGAAAGATCTAATGGATGAATCTGACGTGATATAAATATTTCATTTGACTTTATAATCGTCTTTAAAAAAACTAATTTGAAATATAGTGTTTCTAGTAATTTGAATCTAATGTTATGCAATCTCATTTAACAATTGAATGAAGAGTTTACTTTAAACATACTTTTCTTACAGAGACCTTTTAATAAAAGTGAAATTTGGAGAAAGCATTGAGGACTTACAGACCTGCCGACTCTTAATTAAACAGTACATCCCGACAGGACTTTTTGTGGATCCATATGAGTTGGCTTCATTACGAGAGAAAAACATAACAGAGGTACAATTATTAGAGGATATTTTTGAGAGAAATTATTTTAGGGATGCTGTGATTTGGATTAAGGCAAAAGTTGACAACATTATGGTATTTTTTATTCATATTGTTAAAGTGTATAAAGTAACATTTTTAAGATAACATGGGAGTATTCTTTAAAAAGTGAGTGATACTTGTCATATCTGCCAGTAATAAGCCAAGTAAACTGAGCTAGTTAAGTGCTTTTTTGGCAGGATGGTTCTAGTTTAGTGACTAAGAAAATTATATATATCTTTGAGAAGATATGAATGTCTTTGAGAAAAATGATTAATAAATACTGCTTCAACAGCAATTTTGATTAGGAGACATATACCCCAATGTCTGTATAATTTGGCATGAGAGGAAAGGAAACTAATATTTATTGGATACCTATATACCAGATATCTTCATTTTTTTGAAAGGAAGCAAGGTAAAATGAAGCATTAAAGAAAGGTTATGTCCTATACCCTTTACATAGATTAATCTTTATAACAACACTGAAAGCATTATTTCCATTTTATAGATAAGGAAACTGAGGCACAAAGAGGCCAAGTAACTTATCCAGGATCACATAGGTAAATGGAAGAACCAAGAAATGAATCTGGGGTTGTCTAATTGTAAAGTCGTTGCTCTTTCTAGAAATGAATCTTATTCCTTGGTTAAGAGTTTTCCTAACTTTGATAAGAATCACCTGGGGCACTCTTTGTGCAGATTATTGTCATCCTGGCAAATCTTAATTCACTAGGTCTATCTAGATTGGATCCAAATATCTGTTTTTAATGACTCAGGCAGGTGATTCCTATTAGGAAATTTTGGCAAACACTATCTTAGTTTGGGCCGGCCCCCTGGCGTAGTGGTTAAGTGCGCGTGCTCCGCTGCTGGCGGCCTGGGTTCGGATCCCGGGTGCGCACTGACGCACCGCTTCTCTGGCCATGCTGAGGCCGCGTCCCACATGCAGCAACTAGAAGGATGTGCAACTATGACATACAACTATCTACTGGGGCTTGGGGCGGGGGGGGGGAACAACACTATCTTAGTTCATGAAATTATAATCTATATTGAATTAAAAAAGGCAAAATAGATACATTTGGAGTCATTCATGGTGGCAGTTTATTTCTAATTGTAGTTAGGCCAGTTTCTTCACCTGTTTTATTTATTTAAATTTCTTTTTGAATAGGTAATTGCATTCTCATGGTTCAAAATTTAGGAGATATAAAAAGGTATACAATGATAAATTTTTACCTGTCTCGACTCCCAGTCACCAGATTTCTTCCTGTGTTCTGTTTTTTGTGTATATATGGCCGTTTAGATATACATGTTCATATATACGGCAGTTTAGACACATATACACGTGTGGAAAGACCTCATTGCTTTTTCTCTCATTTGTTTTCTTCACTGAGTCGTGAATTCTATATAAGGATTTTAAAATTTTAAATAATAGGTTTCAAATTTAAATGCAGTTCTTGGCTTCTAGTGACAAGGATTTGAATCATGTTTAAACCTGCTTAATAAAATTACCTGCCATGTTTTAAGAAAATGGAATTTTTTTGTCTAAGAGTACCCTAAAAGAGGTCACATGCCCACAACTTCAGTTGGGAGGAGATTGGGGTGTGTGCAGGTTGACTGTAACAAGAAAAAGGGGTGAGTAAAGGGAGTAAATGGTGCCAGTATAGATTGATTGACAAATTTCTCTTTATCTTGATTTTCTGCTTCCTAATCTTCTAATTCCTAATTATAAGTCTTTTAAGTCAATTTACTTTTTCATTTTGGAAATTTCTGGAAAAAAGATGTCTCATTTGTAGCATATAGATGATTGAAAGTTGATATCTTGATATATTAGATCCTATTTCCTTCTGCCTAGCTGAGTTGAGACTGTGGCCCGATTCTTTGTGCACAGAAATTTTGTCAGGAGAAGTAGTAGTATGTGATGAGTTTAACTGGATAGAAGGGAATTTACATGTAGGGAATGACTGATGAATATGGACATACTTTATTTTACTGTGTTCCGCTTTATTGCGCTTCCCTGATATTGCATTTTTTACAAGACCCTCCACCAGCAAAAAGATTATGACTTGCTGAAGGGTCAGATGATGGTTAGCATTTTTTAGCAATAAAGTATTTTTTTTTTTTTTTTTTTGGTGAGGAAGATTGGCCCTGAGCTAACATCTGCCAATCCTCCTCTTTTTGCTGAGGAAGACCGGCCCTGGGCTGACATCCATGCCCATCTTCCTCCACTCTACATGGGATGCCGCCACAGCATGGCCCCACAAGTGGTTCGTCGGTGCGTGCCCGGGATCCGAACTGGGGAACCCCAGGCCCCCACAGCGGAGTGCGTGCGCTTAACTGCTTGCGCCACCAGGCCGGCCCTAATAAAGTATTTTTTAATTAAGGTATAGACATTGTTTTTTTAGACGTAATGCTATTGCACGCTTAATAGACTATAGTATAGTGTAAATGTAGCTTTTATATGTACCGGGAAACCAAAAAATTCTTGTGACTTACTTTATTGCGATATTTGCTCTGTTGCGGTGGTATGGAACTAAACCTGCAATATTCCAAAGTATGCCTGTATATTTAGATTGAGATCTTGACTCTGTTCCATGAGATAAAATTTTTCACTGGAGCGAATAGAACAATGGGTCCAAATCAAATGGGTGATGTGGCAACAAAATATTTTGTAAGGAGTTTGTGATGATTTGTGAGTAATTTGAAAATGAAGACGAGCCTTAAATAGGTTCACCATGGATAAGGCATGTCAAATGCACCTCATCTCATTTTTAGGTTGGGATATTAGACAGATATATTTAATCAAAATCTCTCACATTCTTTGAAAACAGCATAATATTAGATTGAAACATATGCTGTTTTGTAGGTCAGAATGGAAATGCTGTGTTTTTGAATTCATAAGTTTTACTCAATCAAAATATGTAGTATTATGACTTCTGCCCTGCCCAAGTTGGAGAACAGGGACCTGATTTACTCTCCCATTTGAAACAACCAAGAAATAGACAAAATATATGAAATGATGGAAAAAATCATTATGTATCAGTTAATGAGGGCAGCGATATGGCAAATAAATAAGGTGAGCCCTATGATTGTTCCAGCTTATTGCCTAGAGAAAAGTCAGGCTGTAGTGCAGGGAAGAGGAACCCAAACAGAGCCTGGTGGACTTTTTGAGTTGAGGGGATGAAGATGAGATTCTGGGGAGACCAAGATAACTAGAATTCACAAGATAGTGTGCCAGAGAGCAGAGAACTGCATAGAGACAACTCCAGAGATCCATGGAAGATTCTCTTCAAGTATGTAGTTGAATATTGATTTAGCGCATGCCTGTGAGGAAACTACCTGATGCCGGGAAAGAACCATCTGAAAAAATTAGAGTAACAGTGTCTGACACTCACACGGGGTCCGTAGTAGTGCCTGTTCCCAACAACAAGACCAGGAAAAGCGCATAATTCATTGGACATTGGATAGAATAAACAGAACTTTTACTCAGTAGTAGGGAATACGTAGCCCTAGATTGAACATTGCTTCAGTTCTGCTTAACAAATCTTAAAAGCGAGACCTTAAAAAAATCAAACTGTTTGCAAATGGCTTTACTGCATTCCAGACAAAGCTCAAGAATATTTATAGGAATACAGAAATATCTAGTACCCAACAAAATCAAAATCACAATGTCTGGATCCTAATAAAAAATTAGCAGGTATGCAAGGATGTGGGAAAATATGACCTGTAATGAGGAGATAAAGGAATCAATCAAAACCAATCCAGAACTGACCCAGATGTTAGAATTAACAGACAGCGCAGGAAAACAGTTATTATAACTGTATCTTATATATTCAGAAAGTTAAGTCAGACATGGAAGATATATAAAAGGACAACATTGAACTTTTAAAGATTAAGAGTACAAAGTGTGAGATGGAAAATATTCTGGATGAAATTAATGTCAGATCAAACAATTGCAGAAGAAAAGATTAATGAACTTGAAGACTTAGCAATAGAAACTACTAAAAATAGAGATAAAAAAAGAAATGTAAAAAGTGAATGGAACATTAGTGAGTTGTGGGACAACTTCAGGTAGCCTACTATAAGTTTATTGGACTATCTCAAGAGATATCTGCACACCTATATTCATTGCACAACCTAAGTGTCCACTGATGGATGAATGGATAAAGAAAATGTGCTATATATATATAAATATAAATATAAATACACACACATATACATACATATAATGGAATTTTTAATTTTTTTAGTGAGGAAGATTGGCCCTGAGCTAACATTTGTGCCCATCTTCCTCTATTTCGTGTGTGGGATGCCACCACAGCATGGCTCGATGAGTGGCCTGTAGGTCCATGCCCGGGATCCGAACCTGCAAACCCCGGGCCACTGAAGCGGAGTGTGAAAACTTAACCACTACACCACTGGGCTGGTCCCGTACAATGGAATTTTATTCAGCCATAATAAAGAAGAAAATCCTGCCATTTACAATAACACACATGAACCTTGAGGTTATTATGCTAAGTAAAATAAGTCAGACAGAGAAAGACAAATACTGTAGGATCTCACTTATATTTGGAAGCTCAAAAAACCTGACCTCATAGAAACAGAGAGTAGATTGGTGGTTGCCAGGAGCAAAAGTGTGGGAGAAATGGGTGAAGGTGGTTAGAGTACATACTTCACGGTTATAAGATGAATAAGTTGTTGGAATCTAATGTACAGCATGGTGACTATAGTTAACAGTACTGTGTTGTATACTTGAAAGTTGCTAAGAGAGTGTACCTTAACAGTTCTCAACCACACGCACACACACAGGTTACTATGTGAGATGATGGATGTGTTAACCTTATTGTGGTAATCATTTTGCAATATATACGTTTATCAAATCATCATATTGTATGCCTTAAACCTACACAATGTTGCATGTCAATTGCATCTCAATAAAGCTGGAGGAAAAAGGTGTAATTGGAATCCCTGAAGAGAGAAGA